TTAGGTTGGACCAAGCATTGAGGCCAACATGTTCAACTTGGCTATCTCCTTGTGTTATCTGGGTGGGCCATTTAAACTTGCCATCAAACAGTTTTTCCACCTGGAAATAAATAAAGAAGTAACCTCTTCTGATTTTCCACATTAATATCACATTGAATAAACAAAAATATATTTATTGATTTATTAAATATAATAAAATTATGTAAGACAGACAAAAACTATAATCCTCAGGTATTTATTCTGAAAATTTGGAAGTATCAAGTATTATCAAAGTCTATATAGGAATGCTTTATGAATTAACTACACTTAGGGAAAGGATTACTCTGGTGATAAATTACATATCAGAATAGTTTGACCTATGCTATATACCTATAAATTAATATAAATAATAAACCATTTCCCAGGATTCCTTCATAGTTTTCATCTCCAGTTTAAAGCTCTATGAATCAGCATCAAAAACAGATTCCCAAGCTCCATCCTATTTTCTTTTTTTTAAAGATTTATTTATTTATTTATACAAGCACTGGGCACAGTCAGAAGCGCGGGAGGGTGAGAGAATTAACCAGAACCTGAGCGGGGAGCAGAACAGGCAGACTGACGAAATACACTGCTTAGGGGAGCAGTGGGCAGCAGGAGAGGTTTGTGCACCATGTGGGACCCTCACCAGTGGCCGGGGATTGAACCTGCGCTGCAGAGGCTGCGGGCAGCTTCACAACCCAGCACTCAACCGCTGCACCACCAGGGAGGCACTCCATCCTATTTTCTGATTCAAAATCCCCAGAGTGGGCCTGGGAAAGGTATTTTATAAGCATTCTGGAGACTCATTTCATGTTGGTAACTTGGAAACCATTGCTTGGTTTTCTTAAAGAAACTTGTGGGGGTCTATGATGAGATACACCTTCCCAAACCCTATTACAGACCGAGGAAGTCAGTAACTCTTGGTGTGGACCCCAGAATAACAGTTTCAGAAATCTTCTCTAGGAAATTTTATGAAAACTATTGCTTTCTTCAACATTATGCATTAGAGCCATATTGAAATTCTGAGGAACTCATTACAAGACCATTAGATGAATGCAAGTAATGTTTATTATAATGAGTTATTGCTTTTTCCCCCATAAGTTATACATTTATTCTCTTTAGTATCCGTTTAAGTTACTGAATAATTTCTTCAGAAACACTGCAAGAGAAAACTTTAAAACTGCTTGCAATTTTTTTCAATACTTATAAATTAGTAAAGAAAATAACTAAAGTTTGTTTTCCAAACACTAAATATATTTTGTTTTCAAAAGTTAGTGAAATTCCTTCATAAAGTACTCAGAATACATTTTATATCTACAACAGCATACTATTTCCTCTGTCTTACTGTCAATATTTGGATTTTATATGAAATCAGAAGTATTATTTCTAATCCATTGAATAATTTTCCAAAATAAGATTTTGTTGTTTGATTATATTTCACTAAGTCATAATTTTATATTAGTAATTTTTGGTCTGAAATTTCTTCTGATACCTTACATTTTTCTAGTTTAAATCCTTCATTTTTCTATATTCAATATTTAATTTTAATTTTATGGTTACTGTTTCTCTTTTAAATTCATTTTTAACCTTTACCTTTAAAAAATTAGATCAATGTTGCATATTTTCATTGTTACTAATGGCTCTCTTCCTTATCATTGGAGACTGGAAACTTCCCTGCCTTGAATTTTGAAAACCAAAGAACATTTACTTACACTGAAATAGGAAGGCTGGGAACCTGTTAGAATTTGCTGTTTTATATTCATTTGTTTTGTTTTTATGTATTGAAAATGTCACTTTTACTCCCACATTAATCACAATTGCTTGTTGGCAGACTGTGACTAGACAACTCTGTTTCTTTAATCAGTGGAAAACATCTGTCTTTTTTTTTTTTAGTATTATATACATTTTTTATTTCCTATATTTTTTACACCATTCTTTATTATTTTTTACAATGTGTGCTTTCTCATCTCGGTTATAGTCCCCATGAAATCCCCACCACCCATTCGCCCCTGTTCCATCACCATAGTCCTTTGTGCTCTTCCCACCCCATTTTTGATCCTACTCCCTGCCCCCCCTGCAGAAAATCTCTGATTTATAATTGCTTATTGATTTTTATTTTCAATTTATTACAATAACTGTTTTTTCCCCTGATCCCTTATTTGGATTCTCTGCATTCCTCTTGTAAGTGAAACCATCCAGTATTTTTCTTTTTCTTTCTGGCTTGTTTCACTGAGCATGATCTTTTCCAGCTCCATCCATTTCTTCATATAGCTAATCAGTACCTGTGGAGGTGAGTCCATTTGCCCTTGCCTCTGTGAGCTGGTCTTCCCAGGTGTCTACTATATCACATCATAGGGCATCCATGCAATAAATGTGCTGGTGAACTGCTAGATCCTATCTGTGTCATTCTGATATCATTTAAAGGTATGGAACATGAATATGTTTATCATCTTATCTTTGATCATTTACTGTTCAAAGTTATTGAAACTAATTCAATTGATGTTGCACCTTCCATGTACACAAAAATAATACGTAGCAACTTGGGATACATAAAAAATGAGTATGGTTTGACTGACCTGCAGATGCACATAGACTGGAGGGAGAAATAAAATATTCAGTGATGTGGCAAATTGAGAAATGATGTAAGTCTTAACAAAGGTAACTTAGAACCCTATTCTGGATGATGAGAAAAAGAAAATTTTTGAGGCATCAGGGAAGGCTTTGTTAAAAACAGTAACAGTTGGGCAGAGATTTAAAGAATGGATGAGATTTGGACCTGATTGGAGCAGCTGGTGGCTTTCTAGGTAAATGCAACAGAGAAAGTTTCAGAGAAATGTAGGGGAGTAGTTCAGAGTACAAAGTGATTTGGGAAGTAGCTTTATTGTAAATGTGGAGGCACTAATGATTATCTATAGTATGAATGGAGTTAAGAATGTGTCCAAATCACAGATAATTGAGAGAACTAAAGGAAGTGAAATGACTGACAGAGGTGAATGGCCCCTTGACTCCAAGGTGAAGTGTTTACTGCCTTTGGGATGTTAGCTGACTGCTGAGTGTCAGGCATAGCAGAGGAACTGGAAGGTGGGGACACTGTTTTAAAAGCCCAAGAAAAAGACAATGAGGACCTCCAAAAAGGGTGACAAGTTTACTGGGGAAAACAAATTATTTACTTTTTAATAATTTTCCCTTAAAATAGCGCCAAATGTGTAAGCCCACTCCCTGAATCTAAAGTCTCCTGTTTTATCTATCTCACTATGCTGTAGGTGTCTTTTTTTAGTAAATCACAATTTGTAATCACACACTTGTGTGAATATCCATTTGACATCTCTCTCCCTTTCTAAGCAGTAAGGTCCAGGATTGCAGTACTATTACATTTGTTAAACCCAACCATCTCCATCCATAGTAATAATTACTAGATTTAGGAATGAATGTTGGATAAATACATGGAGACTAAAGATTGACTTCAAAAACTCAGGTAGAAAACTGAGTGGATGTAATTGGTGTGAGCAGTACAGGGGAAAGGAGAAATTTTTGAACTGTTTCAAGAAATGAAGATAAGGATTGTACATTGGATAAAATAAGAAAGTCAGAAAAAGAAACTCATTGAAAGATATGCACAGTGTATTATTTTGATATTTAATATATTTAATTGATATACTGTATTCCACAGTATTTACCAAAAAGCTCAACTAGTTCAATAGATTTGGTTTTTAATTCCACTCTCTACTTAATATTTAATTGGTTTTTTCAAAGAATTTTTTAAAATAGTTAATGAGTCCAATTAATGAATATTCTTTTCTTTTTTTTAGTTAACTGGCAATATTTTAAAAATATTATCCAAGGTTACACCCAGTAAAACTGTGATCTTTGGTAACAAATGACCGTAACAATCTGTTAACTATTTGGGCATTTTTTTTTCCTGAATTAAAATAATTTGCAGGAGAGGTCTCTTAATTTGGATGTTATAAATCTCTAGGTCCACACATTTTTGAAGTAAGTGCTCAGCCCACATGGCTATAGCTCAAAACAAACTGTTTAAACCTCTGGCTCTTTATTCACCTTAGCAGATGGATAGCAGTCACCAAATTATTATCCCTTGTTTGAAATGAGTTTCTCATTTCCATCAGAACAAAATAAGTCCCTTTTAAAAAATCCATAAAATTTTATAAAAAGCATTCTGAATCAATAAACAAACTAAAAAGCTAAAGAATATGAGAGTTTTAAATTACCTATGTTGATGTAGGACTAATAGCAGTGGAAGGATATGCTGAAAATATAGAGAACTACCTCTGAGACTTAGATTGTTATCTGTGTGTTCTATCCTGTCTACAAACAAGAGCTTAAAATGGAATAATTCCAAATCAAGAAATTAGGGAAATTTTTGCTACAGTTAGAAAAATTAGCTATATATTTTCTAACTGTTCTTTCCTTATTCACATCTCAAGATTTGAAGTCAGTACCCTATAAAATATACATTGCTATTTAGTTTGTAAAGTAAAACCCCAAACTTTAAACTCAATAAATATGCCTTAAAAAGTATAAGGAAGGTAGCACAATTAAATACTAAAGTACATCTCAAACAAAAGGCAGTTTCCTATTCTATACCAACACAGGACTTATATATAACCAACAATTCTGAAAAATTTTCCCCAAGGAAAAGAAGTACAATAATCTGAAATTCAAGAAATGTCTCACACAGAAATGAAAAATGACTTCTGTGCTGTGAGTTAGAGAATTGCCTCTCAGTAACTTAGTGTACTTAGGACTTACCTGCTTCATAATTTGGTAAGCTTCTATAAAAATAACAATAGTGATTATAATACCTGAAATATGAAAAGCATATAACATTACCCATCAAAATCTAAAAAAGTAACAAAGCCCATATTATTTTGTTTTACTCTTGCATACACATTTGAAAAAGAGGCAACCCAAAGCTTCATATTTATTTTTCTAAAATCATGTTAATTTCTTATTTATTTCAGGCATTACTAGAGACTCAAAATTTACTGCGCACTCAGGTTGCAAATTTTACCTTCAACCTTGGATTTTCAGGGAAGTTTTACCATACAGGTAAGAAGGACCTTTGTGTTCTCAGGCAGCTACATATAAATAGGAGAAAAGATTTTAATTGTTTCATAAGTAGGAGAAATAGAATATCCATACTGATAATGGGGAAATTTTGGGTACATTATGTGAGTAGCCAAATCCAAAATCAATGAGCTTCTTTACTCTGGCAAATACTGTTAGAATCAAGGGCAAAAGAGGAAGAGAATTTATATTTTCAACTCAATAAAAGAAACCACACCATTATTCTAAGTGTGACTCTGGCCTCTTGTTCTATAAAGTCTAAGTAGAAAGCACAGAGATGATGAGAGAGATGATGATGATTATCTAATTATAATAATAATGATAGTGTTTTAAGTTGTTGGATAGTGAGGACGACAGACATTTTGGCTCATATCCTTTATCTTTGGAAAACATCTGCTGACGAGGGGAAATTTTGCAGTCCCACAATGTACTGGACTTTAAGGGTTGTCTTGCTTAATTTGCTCTCCCTTACACAATTTTTTCCTTGAAAATATTATATATAACCTGGCCCAATATGTATCCAAACCATCCCAGCTTGGTTTGCATTTCTTTCCATCTTCATCTAGTTACACTTGCATTTCAGCTCAATCTCAGCTTTCCTCAAATTATCAAAACGTGACTGTTGTTCATGCACTTCTCTGTGTTTTGGTATTTCTCACCTCTTTACACATCTTCACCTGCAGAATTTGACTCTTATTTTCTGAGTATCAGCATTATGATGTCTGGCACTAGGATCGAGAAAATCATGTACTTAAAAGTGATTGTCCCATAATAATCACAAGAATGGCCAAAAAAATGGTATGTAAGTGCCTGTGTTAAGGCAATACCTACTCTGTGCCCCTGTTCCAGCATCTCCAGTGTAAGATATAATGCTTTGTTTGGGTCTAAGCCCTGTTGTCCCTAGATGGTCACAGTGAACACGTTTCATAGTATTTTCTATGCATGCACAGTTTTATTGACTCATTAAAAAATACCCCATGCAAAAGTAATCTTTAATTATCATAAATGCAGCTTATTTACCCAAAGAGGCCCTTTTAATGCTTACCCAAAGTGGCTCAGCATGGTTTATTAGAATATTGAAGCAACAACAGCTTATTGGTTTTTCCTTAAAGCTTTTTTCCCTCCTGCTTTGAAACATGTAAACCTGTTTAAAGTAATGGAAGAAAAATTAGCATTTGGACCAATTGATAAATGAAATGATTGAATATTTTAAAAGGACATTTTGTAGAAAGAGATTTGGGTCATCATATCTGCACAGGCAAAGCAATCCCAGCTTACAATTCTGAAAATAGACATGTTTTTTTAAATGTTCCTCAAAAAAAAAAAAAATCCCTCAAGAAATGAGTTCAGACCTAAGAAGCTCTGACTATGAAGTTATAAAGCAGATAACTCTCCAGGCTGTATCTACTCATGCAGGCAAAAAAATTATGGGATTATTTGGAGTTCACACACAAACAATACTATTTTGTCTTAAATAGCTTTATAGTGTAAGTAAAGCCATTCTTTTGGCTAAAATATATCTGGATAACTGCCTCAGATTTTATTTGCTTTTCATATTCAGACCTATTAAACCTGCCAGACATTCACTGACTTAATGTATCAGCACCAAGCAGCTTATACCACTTCCCATTTCTTCTTTATAATCCTGAACTTATACCCAATACATATCTAGTAGGAAATGAACCACACACTAGTTTATATCACAGTGTTAGTTCTTAAAGGAAGATACCTCCCCCAAAAGATATATTTTAAATATATCTCTTAAATGGACCTTATTGATGCTTTATTTTGTCACTAACCTAACAAAAATAATAGGCCACTTTATTGTGTAGTTATTATAGAGATTAAGCAATACATATAAATTCTGTAAGTCTTAAATGCTTAATTTTCTTCCCATAAATTTGAAACTTTAATTCATTTGCTACTTTATGTGCAGAGTCATTTAACGCCATGCAGAATGTATTTCAAGAGTGTGATCATTTTATACTGAGCATTTATTAACTCACTCAAAGATACTGAAGTTTCTTCCAGTGGGGTGTCAAACACTGGCACTAGAAATATCAGGAGCTCATGCAACTTGCCTAGCTAGTCATATTACTATCTGGAGCTTAAGGTGGACAGAAAAAAAAAATCACAAATCAGGGAAGAGCTTTCTTTGTGCACTTGGCTATGATGTGTAACCACGAGGACATGGCCTTGGTGCAAAGTCTGTTCTCTCACAGGACGATCTGATTTCCCAACGCATGAGGATACTGATTGATGAGCCTCATTGTTTTGAAGACATTTAATCACATATGCCCAGAGTAATAATGATAGATTCTGTATTTCTTAGGCTGCTTTGCTTATTGGTATTTCCCATGTATTCTTTCCTGTTCAGTTTCTCTGTCCTTCACATGCAAAAAACAATCTCTCCCCAAAAGAACATATCATTCAGCCTTCCCAAAAAGTCAGTCACTCATGAGTGCCAAATTGAAAGAGGAAGGGCATACTGTTGTTGATTACAAGGAAAAAAATAAAAACATGGAGTTTTCAGGAAAACCTTTTAGTCTGGAAATGTTGAAAGCTTTATTAGAATTGCATCGTGAAAGTTCAATTGAAAGACTGATACATTGCAGCACTAAGATGCCTTATAGTGATGAAAGACTACACATATGATTTTCTGTAGAATATGATTTCTGGTGCCAATCACTGCCATTCCTTTTAATTAATAATAAACTCATTATGACTTAATTACTTCACAAATAATATTTGTATATTGGGTTAATATCTGTCTTTTCCATGGCAGTTCATTTCAGAAAATATAACCCTTCATATAAAATTATTACCTTTCAAACATGAAAGTAAAGTAGTGTTACATTCATTCCTCTTGTTTGTTTTGTCTTTTCTGTATAAACTATTAGTTTATAGACTAGATATTGGAACCACTGCTTTTGGTTCAATGTAGGCTCTGACATGTCTGTCAGAGCTGTGTGAAAATAAGCAGGTTACTTAAGCTTTCTGTGCCTCACAAATGGGAAAAATGCTAATACTAAGGAAAATAACATACCTCATTTGGAGCAGTGCATAGCATGTTGCAAGTGCTATGTAAGTATTATTATTACCTCACAAGTTGTGTATGAATCAAAGATTATCAAATAAAGTGAAGCATACACAATTCACATGACTTTTCTAACATTGGAGTTACTGGTAGCTTTTAATTGAGTTTATTGCCATATACTTGTGTGTAGTATAATATTTAAAAATTGTTTATTCTATAACCACCTATATGGAATGCAGCAAATTCAGCGCACAATGAAAATTACAATGAGCTAATATAAGGCAGAAATTTGTACAAAACTTACAATACAGACACTAAAATTTTACATATCTTATTTTAATGTTGTAACTTTGCCTTATGGAATTTAACCTATTGCCCAGATGTTGATAAAATTACTCTTATTTTGGCAGACTTGAAGAATTTTTAGAATACTCTTTTTTCCTAACAGATCCTCCAGAAGTGGTAACAAAGGAATACACTCAAATATTTTATTTCTAAACTAAAGCATTTTTTATTCTTGGGGAATTGGGAAAAGTAAAAGGATATTACTTTAAATAAAAACAAAAAACATTTTTAATTCACAATGATGTCAATTTAATCAGATAAGGTTGTTAGTGAAATGTCAGCCTGGACGCAGACACTTTAGTGGCCTGTAACTCTTATTAATTGTGGCTATATATGAACCCGAAATTCTATTTTCACATGAAATTTAAGCATGAAGTGGATATAAAAGATAAGGGTTTACAGTAAGGCAAAATTTTAGTATTGTCATTTAGTTGTATTTAAAAACATTGAAATTCTGCTTTTGTCCCTCAGAATATCTAGTTCATCTCACTTTTCATATAATTCTTTCTAGTATCACAAATTTTCCTTGTGTAACTTTGAATTATAAAGCCTATAAAATAACGGCAATACTGATGGAAATCAATGCATGAAGTTAAAAAAAAAGAAGTTTTAAATTCTCCATTTTGTGGGGAGTGTTTTTATATTAACACATCCTCTGACACTGAAAAGAAAATAAGATTTTTATGGTCAGTCATGTATCTGTTTATATCAATAATCTGCAAAAAAAATTAATTGAGTAATTGACCTCCCTCATGGTCAAGTATGCATTATGTGCTACCTGCCACTTCCAATAACAATCAGAGGAGTTTAAAGCAAATGGAACTACTTCTCAGACATTCTATATCCCAAACACAATAAAAGGTTGGGAGAAATATCAATTCACTCATTGCATATGACATCAAGTAACTTTTTCTAATCTATGTCTTAGTCTGCTAAATTATGACCACAAAAACATCTGGTGTGTAGCATAAAAACATTTCATGCTTAAAATCCATCTGAGGAAGTGATAAACTTTTCTTCATTTGCATTTCAGTATTTGATATTAACAAAAGTCAGTGAGTTGCAAGTCAGTAGTATTAACAATTTTAGCTTGTCAACAAAAATAAACAAAATTCCCTCCATTCATCTTATTCTTAGATATTTATCACTTTCAAAACTTCTGTTTTTTTTACCCTTTGACTAGTTGTGACTATTATAATAGTAATGGTGCCAAAACTGATTAAAACCAGTGATCCTTTGACATTTTAAGGACTATGTTATTTCTGTATCTCAGAAACAGTGCACATACATTAATGCACACAAAGATTGGCATGTACTACAGCAGACATATGAAGACTTTAAAATTCACTAACTTTATATATTTTGGACTGAATTAAATTATTTACTTGCTGCTGGAGGAGTAGCAGGCTATAGTACAGGTTGAAGGGATCCATTCCCTTACATTAAGAAATTAATAATCCTGCCAGCAATGTATTTTAGAATGTGTAAAAATATATAAATTTTGTAAATTGTAGGTATAAACCACTAGATGTTATTTTTTTTCTTTAAAGGAATTTTAAAGTAATATTTCAAATAGAACAGTTTTCCATAGAAATTTCATACAGATTTTTTTTAAAGATTTATTTATTTATACAAGAACTGGGGCCATAGACGCAGGAGGGTGAGAGAATTCACCAGAGGCAGAGAGGGGAGCAGAACAGGCAGACTAACAAATACACTGCTGAGGGGAGCAGCAGGCAAGACAGGAGAGATCTGCCGCACCATGTGGGTTTCTCCCTGACTAGCTGGGATTGAACCCATGCTGCAGAGGCTGCAGACAAATTCACAGTGCTGTACTCAACCCACTGTACCACCAGGGAGGCCCCAGATATTATTATTATTATTATCATCATCATTTTAAACATCACTTTGTAATGTATTTTTTAAAGATTTATTTATTTATACAAGAACTGGGGTACAGGCCAGAGGCATGAGAGGGTGAGAGGATTTACCAGAGACAGAGTGGGAGCAGAACAGGCAGAACTCTGCTGAGGGGAGCAGCAGGTGAGGCAGGAGAGGTCTGCAGCGCCATGTGGGTACCTCTCTGGCTGGCCGGGACTCGATCCATGCTTCAGAGGCTGCAGACAGCTTCACAGCGCTGTGCTCAACCCACTGCACCAGCGGGGAGGCCCAAGCCCCAGATATTATTTTTAAGAAGAAAAAAATCTTACTATTTATGAAGTGCTTACTATATGCAAGTCACAATTTTAAGTATTTAAATAACTGATTTCATTGACTCTCCAAAAAGACCCTATCTCCTAGGTTTTTATATCCCCTTTTAAATTTGGAAAGAGACTCAGCCAAATTAACTTGGCTAGGATCATATAGTCAAGTAAATGGCATATATATGGGCTCTGTTTCAGGTATTGGTGGACCCCAAATAGATACCAAAGCAAATAACCATGTGCTTTTTTTAACCACTAACTATCAGGGTCAGTGAAATCTTTACTATATGACACAGACATGGAATATTAAGATTCTTTTTTGTACATTTACTATGTATCTGCCTAAATAATACAAAATCAAGTAGCTTCCTATGTGGTTAGTAACTCTATATATCATTTGTTTGTACTTTTCACTCTTCTTTAATAAAGGTGTATTCTGTTTGTCATCCGAAAAAAGTTAACCAACCAGTTAAATTCCAAGATTACTTTTTAGACTTAATGTGCAGGATTACTTTTAGAAGTAAAAAGAATAATCATCTCTTATCAGGATTCCCTTATATATACAATAAGAAAATTAAAGGTGGAAACTTTTAAAACAAAAAATTAAATACATTGCAAGAATTAGGTGTACTTTTTGAGTGCCATTATATGCTGACCATTCTAAACAATGATAAAATAAATGTCCCAGGTGCCAATGAAACTCAATCTCCTTGTGATAACCACATCTTCCCCTCCCAGCCCCTATTCCCTTCGTCTTTCATATAATTTAGACTTTGCTCATCTTTTGGTAAAAACAACACACACTTGGATTTATGTATCAATAGTAAGGGAAATAACAAAATCTGAAAAATTTAATTTTACAGCCAATAGGACATTTTCACTTAAGCGATGTCTGTCTTGCCTTGTTCAGGAACAGGAGAGGAAGATGAAGGTGATGACCTTTTGCTTCGGTCAGTGGACGAGTTTTGGTGGTTTCCCCACATGTGGAGCCACATGCAGCCCCACCTCTTCCACAATGAGTCCTCTCTGGTGGAGCAGATGATTCTCAACAAGGAATTTGCCCTGGTGAGTCCATTTCATTGCAGTATTTTTCAAGCTATCAACTGTAACAGCAAAATTAACTTGGCTAGGATCACATAGTCAAGTAAATGACATACATATGGGCTCTCTTTCAGTGTAACATATTAGTGCACCATAATATCAGTTTATTGAGTTGAGCCCTATAGAAGCAGAATTGAACATAAAATATCAGAGCCAGCATAATCTGCAGTAAGAGTACATGTTGTTTTATATTATTTCATTTCAGGAATGTGTATTTGTATTGAACCATGATATAATGTGAAATGTATTTCAAAAAGTAAGTCATTGTCAGATAGTTTCCATCTCCTGTTTTATGGAAGGATTATTCTTGCATCTATGAAGAAGAAAAATACTTCTTTGTATTCCATTGTATTCCTGGTGCATTAGAATTGCCCTTTCAAAAGCATTTCTTGCAAGGATGAATGAATGGATGAGTGAATTCAATCATATCAATTACTCTACAGCAGTGTAGCACTGGGAATAGGTTCTGAGAAATGTGTCTCCAGGAGATTTCATCCTTGTGTCAATGATACATAGAGTACGTCTTATTCTCCAGAGTACTTCTTGGTTTCACTGACCTAGCAATTCAGAAGGGTACCTTTGAAGAGGGCTGGATGACTTATTATGCGCCTGTGTTTCTCTGAAGTCACTAGGCAACAAAAATTCTGGGGACACCACCATGTGATGTAATCCATTGTTAACCAAAACATTATTATGTGGCGTGCAGCGGTAAACCCATGTGCATATATCTTTTTTTCACACAGAAGATTTTCTTTTTTCTTTTTTTTTAAAGATTTATTTATGCCTACAAGAACTGGGGTACAGGCCAGAGGTGTGGGGGTGAGAGGATTCACCAGAGACAGAGTGCGAAGCAGAACAGACTGGTTGACTGAAATAAACTGCTGAGGGGAGCAGCAGGCGAGTCAGGAGAGGTCTGACTGCACCATGTGGGTAACTCCCTGGCTGGGGATCGAACTTGTGCTGTAGAGGCTGCAGACTGCTTCATAGTGCTGTGCTTACCCCTTGCATCACCAGGGAGGTCCCAAAACATAGAAGATTTCAGCTATCATGACTGCTAGAGGGGCTTCCTCGTGGCTCAAGGGGTTAAGCACCACACTGTGAAGCAATCTGCAGCCTCTGCAGCACGAGATCGATCCCCGTTCAGCCAGAGAGCAACCCACATGGCGAAACAGACCTCTCCTGTCTTGCCCGCTGTTCCCCTCAGCAGTGTATTTCAGTCAATCTGCCTGTTCTTGCTCCCCACTCTGTCTCTGGTAAATCCTCTCACCCCCCACATCTCTGGCCTGTACCCCAGCTCTTATAGGCATAAATAAATAAATCTTTTTTAAAAAACTGCATCATTTAAAAAAAAAAAAAGGTTGATAAACTCTGTCCCATGGGCTAGATCTGGCATCCTGTTGGCTTTGAATTGCCTCTGATCTAAGGTAGATTTGTTCTTTGGGATTTATTTTAATATTTTAAGTGATTGAAAAACAAAGACATAAAATTCATATTTCAGTGTCCATAAATAAAATGTTTCTGGAACACCATCCTAGCCTCCCTTCATGTATTGTCTGCTGCTGCTTTCATTCACACTGCCATAGCAGAGTTGGGTAGTTGAAAAGGTTTGTCTGACCCATAAATTCCATTATATTTACTAGGTGCACCTTTATTGACAAAGTTTATACAATGCTGCTCTACACAGTAAGTCTTATATCCATTCAACAATCTAAAAAACCACAGAAATATTTTCCTCAGAAAAATACTGATGGGGCCTCTCTGGTGGCACAGCCAGTTGAGCGCAGCCCTATGAAGCTGCCCGCAGCCTCTGCAGCATGAATTACATTCCCAGCCAGAGAGATACCCACATGGCACAGCAGACCTCTCCTGGCTCTCTGCTGCTCCCCTCAGCATTGTATTATAGTCATCGTGACTGTTCTGTTCCCCACTCTGTCTTTGGTGAATTCTCTCACCCTCCCGTGCCTCTGGCCTCTAACCCAGTTCTTGTATAAATAAAATAAATCTTTAAAAAAAAGGGAAAAAAAGAAAAATACTGAGATGCACATTCTCACATCTCACACCTTCACGCAAAAAGACAGTCACACCCTGGGTCGTGAATCATCCTGGGCCTCACTTAGAACTTCTGTCTTGAAGATTTTATTTAATATAAGTAGTTCACTTATACCATGTGATGGCTGTCATGTTTCAAGGCATCTAAGGAGTCATAGACGTTCTTCTTCAAATTATGCCCCATTGTTATATTAATGGCTCATCCTCTTACCATCTCTACACCCCAATCTGTGGCAGGATCCCTAGAAGGAGGTAAGGGCAGGATAAAATGCAGTTAAGACCATAGGCTCAGGCACCAGAATGCCTATATTTCAATTCTGACCTTCCATCAATGGCTGCTTGACCTTGACCAAATATTAATTGGTTTTTCTGTATCTCTATTTCTCTCTCTGTAAGAATGAGAATAATAGTAACAATGACCTCACAGGATCGTTCTGTGGAGACATATAATGTGTTCAGGCAAGGCCTGGCATTCCATAAACACTTAGTAGTCGTTAACCAATTATGATCTTTCTAAATCCAAATGAGTATACAGTTATGTCTTGTTTTTGAAAAGCCAAATGTCTAATAAATTTGGCACTACCCTATAGCATTGTAAAATTCAGTAAATGTTTCCTTTTCAAAAATAAGGCTTACCTTGTATGTACATGTTGAATTTTCTGAGAGCATTTGCCTTGATAATGAACTGTGTTTACCAGTTTGCTTAAACCCTCCTCACTTCATTTCCACCCTGAAGACTTGCTTTTTAGGCATGTAGGTTATATTTCATAATGGTTGATTTCACCTGTTTGTGTAATTTATTTTTTAAAAGCCATGCTAAGAGCACTGGGGAAGACTCCGATGTAATTGCTTTGTAATGAAATGTCGAAAGCTATTTAGAGTCCATTCGGAACAATTGTATTTGTTAAACCAGTTTGGCTAGAAGCTAGACTGAAACCTATAAATATATTTTGAAAAAAACTATATGTTGCATAATCAAAATTTACAATTAAAATGAAGTCTGTTAAACGCACGTAAATGATATTGTCCTTTTCCTCTGGAGTTCAGCTAAATAAAATTTCTCGAGACTCTGGGCCTCCCTTGGTGGCTCAGCGGTTGAGTGCTGGGCTGCTAAGCTGCCCACAGCCTCTGCAGCTCCAGTTCGATCCCCAGCCCCCGGTGAGGGTCCCACATGGCCCGCAGACCTCTCCTGCCATGTCCGCTGCTCCCCTCAGCAGTGTATTTCGTCACTTTGCCTGTTCTGTTCCACACTCTGGCTCTGGTGAATTCTCTCACCCTTCCGCGCTTCTGACTGTACCCAGTGCTTGTGTAAATAAATAAATAACTCTTAAAAATAATTTTTTTTTTCTCGAGACTCTTCAAGTTCAGAACCCTACCTTTCACAGTGAACACACAATATGTGTGTTGTCCAGGAGTCATGAGATGCATTTATTTCTTCTTAAATGAATATCTTTCCATATCCAGATGATACTTCCAGATTATCTGCAGGATTAAAATGGGATAAGAAAACACCGTACAGGTGGAAAACACCATATAAGATATTAGTGGCTCAAATTTTGTGCTGACTGCTAGTAAAAAGTTCTGATAAAGTTGGAAATTCATTTAATGTCTTCATGCCTTGGTTTCCTACCCTGAAATGGTAATGATTCCCCTTTTCATTCTCCAAACTACAAAGCTTTTAGGTAATTAATTTTTATCAGCTCATCTGTCAACCAAAAGCACTGGACCAGATAATGCCAGTGATCAATTCCAATTCTAAAATTCTGTGATCACTCTTAATATCAGTATACAAATTTGGAATTAACAGCTTGAAATATTTATCTAACTGCAACTGAAGCAATTATTGAAAGAGATTTTCAAACTAAATGACCAATTTATACTGAAAAACATGTTTAAATCCCTTTTTTATTCTACCCTGACATTTCTCACTATTCCTGGGTATGACCTTGGTTGGCAGAGGGGTAACAGTCAAAAGCACAATTGTTCTCATAGCATTTACAAAAACAATTCAAGTGACACAGTAAAATTTCATATTAAAAAATAAACATATTGATATTTCAAAGATAGTGTATCAGAACGGTTTTGTTTGTTAAATTTTTCTGAATTCTCTCTGGCTAGAGAAACTTTTTTGTTATATGTCTAAGAACTATGAAAAACAGACTATGAGTTTTTTTTTTTACTGTTTCATTATGTTGGAAGAATCAAAGGCTGTCATGTCTTAAACCATGCACACCTGCGAATGCATGTGAGTTTGTACGGAAGGTATGTGTTGTGCTCTTAATCCATGAGCTCGTGTATGTGCAATGTTTGTGTATGTTAATTTGTTGGTGCGTAATGCACGTGTGCATGCTTAATGCATGAACATATATGTTATGTGAGGGTGTGCATGTGAATAGAGGGTGTTATTCTAATAATGGCACAATTAATTGATACATTCATTGAAGGATACTACATTTGCAGAACAGCAGTGTAGGGGAAAATAGCGTTTTATTTTCTTCCTTTTAATAAGTCTTAACATCTGTGCTACCACTCCGTATCATGAACATATCATGATCATATCATGAACATGATCATAGTTGCTTCATATCATAGAAGCAACACTTGAAAGATGAAAACAAAAACACAGGGTGACTAGAATAAGAAGCATTGTTTAGCATTAAAGTAATTAATGAAAAAAAATAATTATGAAAAAAACACCAAAAATCTTTCCTGGCTTAACCCGTATACACTTTACAAACACAGGATAAGTGCCTGTGGCATAAACTTGAATTATCCGCTTTTCTTCCACAATAGATTTGTGGTGAAAAACTTGAAATGGATTCTGTTGTTTTAAGTTTAGCACAACCTCATTGAACTTTCCAAATGAGTGGAAGCTTTCAGGTCACTTACAGTAGACTATAAAATATCCCGAAGGA